ACTTCCCTCAATCTGCTGGCAATGCTCCTACTAATGCAGCCCAATATGCCATTAGCCTTCTTGGCAACAAGGGCACACTGCTGACTCATATCGAACTTTTCATCCAAAGTAATCTCCAGGTCCTTTTCTGTAGAACTGCAGCTTAGCCAGTTGGTCCCCAGCCTGTAGCAGTGCATCGGATTCTTCCGTCCTAAGTGCAGGGCTCTGCACTTGTCCTTGTTGAACCTCATCAGATTTCTTTTGGCCCAATACTCCAATTTGTCTAGGTCACTCTGGACCCTATCCCTACCCCCCCAGCATATATACCTCTCCCCCCATCTTAGTGTCATCCACAAACTCACTGAGGGTGTAATCTATCCAATCATCCAGATAATTAATAACGATGTTGAACAAAACCAGCCCCAGGACCGACCCCTAGAGCACTCTGCTTGATACCGGCTGCCAACTACACATCGAGCCATTGATCACTACCCGTTGAGCACGACAATCTAGCCATCCACCTTATAGTCCATTCATCCAATCCATACTTTTTTAACTTGCTGGCAAGAATACTGTGGGAGACCATATCAAAAGCTTTGCTAAAGTCAAGATATATCACGTCCACCACTTTCCCCATATCCACAGAGCCAGTTATCTCATCATAGAAGGCAATCAGGTTGGTCAGGCATGACTTGCCCTTGGTGAATCCATGTTGACTGTTCCTGATCACCTTCCTGTCCTCCAAGTGCTTCAAAGACACATGCTACCTCTGCTCAAGCTAGCATGCTATCTACCCAAGTACAATCCAACCAACCACTGGGTATGTATTCAGATGCTCATCTTGAGCTGCCACCCATGTTCCTGTGGCAAGATTACCAACCCATGGGATTGGGTGGGATTGTACTCGGGTAACTAGTCCACACTGCTGCAGTCACAGTATTTTTAGTGTGCTGGCTTTTGCAGAGCTAGCACGTCTGTCTACTTGCACTGTGAAGCTGGTCCCCAGCTGTTGTGTAAACATACCCTAAACTGCCATGGAGCTGGGAGACACGTGAACACCAGAGCCAGGGCAGCAGCAAAGATGCCTCTGACCTCCTGTGAATCCCTGGGGGTTGCTAAGTGAAGGGCAAGTCCTGTAGCTCTTTCCATGAGGGAGCAACCCCTGCAGGTTTTTTTGTGGCGGAGAAGCAGTTAGGGTGCTTGCCCGAACTCAGGATACCCAGTCCAATTCTCTGCTCTGATACAGACTTCCTGTGTGACCTTGGGACAGTCACATGGTCTTTCTCTGCTGCCATTCCCCATCTGTAAAATGGGTACAATAGCACTGCCATACCTCACAGGAGTGCTATGAGGATAAATACATTAAACAGTAACAGAGGCCATATAAGTTCCTTAGATAAGGTAGGGAAGGGGGATATGTGCTGGGCAGGGGAAATTATAAAATATGAGGTCTTGTTGGCTCTCCTTTGAAACTTTGAGTTACAGCTAAGGCTAACACTGTATCCTTAAGTATTTCCATTGTGCCCAGATACAGTATCACATAACATACTGGGCACAAAATATACAACTTTATACAGTCCCAAGAACTTGAACACAATGGGGTTCGTCCAGCTTAACTGAATTGCCTGGCTTTTTCATTCTATAATTTTGGACTGTCCCATAATGTTGAATATACTCATACTGAGACAGAAATGTTTAGGGCATAGTTCTACAGTTTTCCTTTAGCACAGCACACTATATTACTACTTCTCTTGGGAAATTAGTGCAAGCCAGCCAAAGTACTTCACTATGCAATGAGCAGATTGAAAAGTCCAAAATAGAAATGAATCTACCATCAATATATCCATTTAATCAATGACTTGTTTAATTTTAATTGATATAATTACTGTGACAATTTAGGCTAGAAGGATTAGTCCTGGGATAATAGGCTGGGTGGGGGAGGGAAAGGGGGGGAAGGAAGCCCTCCTTCCCTTCTCCTGAAATGAGTTCACATATGTGCAGTAGCAAATTGCAGGTGCGCTGGTGTTTAAGGAATAGGCCCAGGGCAACAAAACATTCTGAAACTAATTAACTTTACATTTCAGCCAATTATACTTCATCCTTCTCAAACAGCTGCTGAACTGCAAAAATGCAAACCTTTTCAATGTTTTATGCATGCTGCCAAGTCCCACAGCAATAAATTCAAAACTTAACACTATATTTTGCTTGTTTCCTTAGTGTGTTAATGCCGTAATCTAACATTCCTATATCTTTGATTTTAAGACATGATGATCAGACTTCAAATTTCTGCAAAGATTGTTTAGAGACAGTGTTAATGCTGATGCCTGTCTTGGAATAAAAGTGACATATAGAACTAATGATATGGGGCAACCAGCCCTCCGGGTGATACATTAATGGCAAAACAACCACTTCTTCCAAAGGATCTAAACACTGCTTTAGTTGCGTCAAAAATACACACACAACTAAAAAATATATTCTTTAAAAAGTACTACTGTCAGATGTGTGCGTGCACACAGAGGAGACCTGATCTGACTTCCACTGAAGTCAACATGGTCCATAGGTCTTTTTTTCAAATCTCTGGCACTTCCAGTGGACCAAGTTCTGACCTGGATAAGTGCCTGGTGTGACAAGTCCAGTCAAGTGCCCCCTCTTGACCATTCACAAGACTGCTGTGAAGGAAATCTATTCTGGATCCCATGTATTTTAAGTTTCCTGAGTCTTACAATCCAGTCACTCACTGCCATTGGCTCGAGATCCCTAGCACACTCTCAGGGTGCAGATTCCCTGTCTAACACACCTTCCTGAGAGTTTAGACAATGTAGCTCACTGCCCCGCACTGTGGCACTCTGGCACCGGACCCTTCCAGCTCCCCTGTAGCTTAAACATGCCTTATCTCAGAACCTCCTGAAGGTGTGAGGTGCTGGGTTACAATTTAACTCTCAGCACATATATGATAAGGTATAGTATATAACATGCGGTCTTTCCACAGGATTCAAACACAGCATTGGTCTTTCTTCAATAACACAAGAAATATATATCTATATAAAAATCATAAATCCTACATGCATTTCTGTGCTTCCATTTCCTCAATATTCCAGCACATTCTTTGGGCTGGGATCAAGGTTACCTGGGACTATCCAGCAACCTCGTTGTGGTGCATAGCTTGCTTTTTTTAAAAACATGGAGCCTTTTCTCCCAGCGTACCTACTGACTCTGGCCAGTCCATCTCCTTACCCTCTCCTGCCCAAACTTCTTGTGTATCCATCAGTCTTTCCCTCTGAGTTCACTTTAAATGCCTTTTTTGTCACCTCTGTCTTTGTCCTACTTAGGGAATTGCCACTCTTTGTATTTCCTGACCCCTTGAGACAAGAGAAGGAAGTGTCTTTCAAACAGCTCACGGAAACTCACTTAGCATATCTATTGTCCAGTCAAAGCACAGTAGTTAAAGTTAAGTACTCCCTGTTGTCCTTAGTCTGGTGTATATTTGCTGTAGGTTCTGTCTGCAATGGTGGATATGCTTTGAGACAGGGGCTATCCGAGACTATCTAAGATAGGGGCTATCTAGTCAGTAGAATTCATACATTGTACAGATACCCCAAAAACATCACACATGGGTCTTCTGTTGACTGTTTGGAGAAATGGATATCTTCAAGCAACTGATAATGTTCTCAAACATGTATTGCATTGCATAGATTGTTCTTGAGCATACTGTAGCCATCCAAGACGCTGTAATACCAGTATCTCTCCCTACTTGGAAGAAGTAAAATATCTCAGATATCGCATAATGGCAGTTGCTGGGTAACTGACTATTTAATGGCTGAAGGTTCTTCCATAATTAGACCTTTCTTAAGATATTATCCTTTTTAGGTTTGACCCTCAGAAAGGCTTTTGGTGTCAGCTGCTGGAAGGAGGGAAGACAAAATGCCTGGGAAAAAGCAAAGGCCGAAAATACCCACCAATGGATCAGGAGGTACCACTTTTCTAGAGATCTGAGTTACAGTTTGTGAAAAACTCATACAGCATCGTGCTTGGGGCTCAAGAATAAAGGATGGTTCATTTTTCAATATTTTTTTTTTTAAACCTACAGTTCAGGATAACCACACCTGTATTTGTCCAGCAAATGCATTCATACTCAGGCTTTTAGCTCCCCGGTCATTGCCTCGTTGTGTGGTGATGCATGTCCCTGCCGACTGGGACATTTCCAGGCTGCACAGCTGTGAATTCTCCCAGCAAACTCAGACAGTGGAAGCTGACCTGCTTGCTTTCTCTTCAGAGACTAACAGCGTAACTGCTCACAGTAAAGCTACCACACAGCTCTTTCGGTGCAAGTTTATTTATTGTAAAGTGAAAACATATGTAAATACAATTAAAAAAACCTACACTCATGCTAATAAGCTTACTGGTGATCATCCCAACTCCAGCACTGGCTGTGGCAGGTGGCTAGTCCTTCAAACCCCACAGAGGAGCCTCTTCTATGGTCACATAACAGCCTGAGCTCAGAACTAACACACCTGTGAAGAGTTTGGTCCATCTTTTATACAGTTCAGGGGTCTTTCATCCAGAGTTTCAAGGAGCAGTTAACCAATAAACAAAGGGTTTTTCTCCATAGGGCATAGTTTCAGGAGGCCTCCCAAGTACCTCCTAGGAAATCCATTTCATACATATTGTCCCAAACAGTTCTTTGACATTTCTAACTTTCTCCAAGGTTTACATTAGTCAGTCTCCTAGAAAAGTTACATACAATCCTACAATAACCTAAACAAATGCATTTTAATACAGTGGATCCAAAAGGTATTGAATTCAGTTTAATAAGGTTGAACTTAATAAGGTTAATAAGGTTTGTCCAGGAAATTTTCCTGTCACAATGATACTAAGAGAACTGAAATTGTGGGTCATAAAAATGTGGACACTGTCCCTTTAAGAATTTTACCTGGTTTTGTTTTTTTAGCAAGATTGTTCCCCACTGGGGTGCCAATTTTTAATGTAAATTGTCTTTGTTCCTTTTTCCCCTTTTCCCTCAGTCTAGAGCTTTTCTTTCAAGCTACTACAGAGATCACAATGTGGAACTGTCCAAACTACTGCACAGATTGGGACAACCCCTGCCATACTGGCTGAGACAGGAGCTTCAGAAAGTGAGATAGCACTGATGTTCAGAGGACCAAAGTCTAATGACAGTTACCGGCACCATAAAACCCCTCGCTTCCCTGATTCACTTGTGATTGTCAGTAGAGGACCTCATGAATAACTGTCTCAAAATTAAATACAAATATAAAACTGTTTATATATGCACGCACTGACAGCTATTAGCATCAACTCCTTTGTCAGCTTCTGGGACACAATATAGAGCTATGTGGCATTATTCTTTATCCAGCCTGGGACTCATGCATAGTCTAGTCCCTCTGTTTACCAGAAAGTTCCAGAAACTGTATGTATGATTGATAGTCTTCATCATATATGACAAATTACAGCCTGTCAGGACACAAGCAAAGGACAGAAACATCTCTCGGTGGATTATGAGGTTGGTTGAATTAATAGTTTTCTATATTTTCTTCTTTTGGCCTGATCCTTCAAGGTGAAAAATGAGGGAAATCAGGGGGCATTCAGAACCTTGCAAAACAGGGCCCTTAGTTATTAGGGTTTATTTAGCTATAACTAACAATGCTGCCCTGTTGCTTTCCTTATAAAAAATAGCTTGTTTTTTTCACAGTGGGCTAAATTCCTTTATGGCATAACTCCATGGACTATTTGGCCAATGGTCTGTGGGATTTCTTTTCTTACATCTTTCTCTCAAACAAGATGTACCCTGGTCTACGGAAGCTGTGTGTGAATTGCGGAAGTGCAGCTCTCCTGTTAGCCACTCGAGCAGTGAACCAGTCAATGAAGCCAGCCAATTGAAAACTGTGCCTTTCACTGAACTGACATTCTTACCTTGTTTTGCCCCCCCTTTATAAAATTTTCATCATGCTTATCTAGTTCCTATGGTGCTTGTGTTTGGGATGTGAAATCTGATTAGTTTGCCATAATGTCATTGGGACTCATAAAACAATCATCAGAAAGGTCAAAATCTAAGCAGACCATTAGCTCAGTGAACTTCACACAGACAATGGCTTAATTCTGACAATTTCATGGTCAGGCTTGGGAGCAAATAGTTTTTACTCTGAAGCCTTTAAAATACGAGAGACTGGGTTTCTACTGTTCTAGTATCATAGCCTTAAACCCTTGTCAAAAAGGCCTATAGAACTTAATAGGAATGAAACAATAAATTAATCTGGGTTCTATAAAAATTACTTTACAAACCTATAGGCTATCACAAAAAAAATCTCCATTCTGTAGATTTTTTTTTAAACCAGCCAATAGAACTTAATAGGGAATTATATCCACAGTATCACATACATGTTGTGATGTATTCTTATTTTTGCACATCCATATACTCTATCTATCTATCTATAGATAGATAGATAGATAAAGTAGCCACACTGTCCCTGTCCAGTTTTTTTCCCCTCCTCCTTGGATACAGTCCCTGTCTACTTAGGACACTGGATGTGCCTCATATTCCTGCCCACTGCCTATCTCCCTCTTCTCCCCTCCCCCGCCCCCCAGGCACTATCCCTGCCTCCAGCTTCCATAGGAGGAGCCCAGAAGCAGAAGATGTGTGTATGAGATGGAGGAGATAGTGTAGTCAGGCTGGAGTGAGAGTTGTGGGGGGACCAACCATGCTTTCAGAGTAATAGAGTTTAAGGCCAGAAGGGACCACCATCTAGTCTGACTGCCTGTATAGCATAGGCCACCAACACCACCCAGCATCCGCACACTAATCCCAATCACTGAAATTAGACCAAAGTATTACAGCCCATAGGCAACGAGCCTGTTATTTGCCACAGGCAGACAATAGAAGGAACCAAGGTGCAATGGTAGTTGGGGCCCCTGCAACAGCAAGGAAATAATTAAGATATACCCATGTAAACCTGGCAAGTGACCCATACTCACATGCTGCAGAGGAAGGTGAAAACACCTAGGGTTACTTCCAATCTGATTTTGGGGAAATTCCTTCCAGATGCCACAGATGGCAGTCGGTTAGATTCTGAGCACGTAAGCAAAAAACAGAGAGAGAAATGCTCAGTGCCACCTCAGAGCCCTGGCCCTCCCTGTCCAATGGCCCGTCTCCAGCCATGGCCATCCCTGATGCTCCAGAGGAAGGAGATAAAAAAGCTCCCAGAATACATTGGGGGAGGGAGAAATCCCCACCTGACCCCTGCAGGTGGCCAGCAAGAACCCTGAAGCGTGAGCTTTTAGGAACAAAAAATATAAACTGGAAGTGAGACTCATAGAATCATAAAAGATTAGGGTTGGAAGAGACTTTAGGAGGTCATCTAGTCCAATCCCCTGCTCAAACCAGGACCAACCCCAATTAAATCATCCAGCCAGGGCTTTGTCAAGCCAGGACTCAGGCTTGTTGAGCCCTGCCCCCTACCACCACAAGCTACCCAATCATATATTTGTACTCATTAATTTGTCCAGGTCTTTCTCAAAGCTAAGTCAGTTGTTTGCCCCACAATTCCTATTGGGAAGCTTTTCCAGAACCTCACCCCTCTGATAGTTAGAAATCTTCTTTTAATTTCCAGCTGGAATTTGTTCTTTGCCAGTTTATATTCATTTGTTCTTGAGCCAACATTTTCCTTGAGCTTAAATAGCTCTTCACCCTCCCTGGTATTTACCCTCCTAATCTCATAGCTGTAACTGGACATTTTAGTGCTCGGGAAGAGCAAGTATATTTGTACCCCACTGCTGGGGTTTTTGTGGGTTTTTTTGGCATTTCTCCACCCCATTTTTCTTCCCCTGCGGCTTTGCACCCTCGGCAGCTGCCCTGCTCACCCTGACCTGGTTACATCCCTGCCTAAACTATTTACAGAGGACAATCATATCTGCTCTCAGCTTTCATTTTGCTATACTAAACAAGCCATGCTTTTCCAGTCTCCTTTCATAGATAGGGCCTACATTCCCCTGATCATCCTAGTAGCTCTTCTTTGCATCTGTTCTGGTTTAAATTTATCTTTCTTTAACATCAGTGACAAGAACTGTACTCAATATTCCAAATGAGATCTGACCAGTTCCTTGTACAATAGCATTAACACTTCTCTCTCTACTGGAATTGCCTCGTTTGATAAATCCTAGAATCACATTTGCCTTTTTCACAGCCACAACACCTTGGTGGCTCATAGATGTCCTGTGATTGACCCAAACACCAAGGTCTTTCTCCTTCTTTTGCATCCAACTGATTAACCCCCAGCTTGTAACAGAAATTCTTCTTATTATACGCCAAATTCATGACTTTTCATTTTGTTTTATAGACGCCCCCCGGGTTACGCAAACCTGATTTATGCAAATAGTTCCGTAAGCTAGAAATAGTTTGGGGTTTTTTGCACAATGGTTGGGTATACGTTTCTGACTTATGCAAAATTCAAGCTACACAAGGTGTTCCGGAATGGAACACTTGCATAAGTCCGGGAGCGTCTGTACTGAATTTCATCCCATTTCTGTCACTTCAGCCTTCAGGGTCATCCAAATCTTCCCGAAGATTATTCCAGTCCTCCTTTGTATTGACAATGCTGCCTAACTTTGTATCTTCAGCAAATTTCATTAGAACACTCCTACTTTTTGTGCCAAGATCACTAATAAAAATACTGAATACGATTGGTCCCAAGACCAATCCTGCAGGAACTCCCCTAGTAACCGCCCTTCTCTTCAATAATTCACCTTTCAGCACAACCCATTGTCCTTTTCTGGCAGCATTTGGAATTGCAGCCCAATGCCAGCTACAGACTCACTCACTTGAATGGCTGAAACCAGAAATGAAGTATCAGTTCTAGCTCAGTCAAAAATCATGCACTTCTGGTGGCGAAAGTCATAGGAGTTGCAGAATCATTGCAAGAGTTGGCAACACCGTGTCCCTGTAACTGTGTGATGTTAATGGGACCTAACTCATGTCTAAATAATAAAACCACATTGGCCACATCAAAATTCTAAAGTTGTCCCCCCACCCACCCAAAAAAGGAAAATGGGAATGAGAGAGGAAAAAACAGTGTTGCCAAATATTGTGCTATTGTGAATCTCACAATAGTTGGAGTTTTCCTTAATGCCCTAGCTGCTGGCAATTAGAAATTACATGAGAATTTCAGCTTTCATTTATTAACAAAGTAAGTTTCTAGCTTTTATGGTTGTAAGGAAAAAATTGAAAACACGACTCAAATGCACCCTAAGGCTCAGAAGACAGAAAGTAAATAAAGAATCACAGGTTTATTATTCTGGAAAAAATACTTTTGAGCCAAACTCATGATTTTTGGAGGGTCCTGACTCGTATTTAGGGTTAACGATGTTGAAGAAAACTGGCGTGGTAAAACTTTTTTGGACAAAAGGTTGCAGTGGGGAATGGGAGTAATTCCAAAGACTATCCAGCCAACCCATAATCTGATAGAACATATTTAAGTGCTAAATTGCATCTGCAGCAACTCATCAGTAATTAAAAGATAACTTTGTATTCTTTTGAAATGAAAAGCTCAGGAAACACCAAATGTTGTTTTGGGAGCTTTTAAAGGAATACAGCAGATGTCTTAATCTGTTGCACTCCCTTTTGGGAAGGGTGGAAACCAGCTTTTCATGTAAGAAAAATACTAAAGTATCTTTTTAAATCTCCTTTTCTGCCATCCTATTATGTCTTTAATATCCATCCAGAGGAGCGTTTCACATCACTTCTGTTTTTTGTGCCTCCTTGTTACTTATGTTTGGATAAATGCCATGCTATCAAGATATTCCATGTTCTCATTGATAAACTGAGACTTGATGTGATTTTGTTAGGTGTAGCATACAATTTGAATATAAAATAACAGCATGTTAGGGTCTAATTTCTTCTGCCTGTAACATGACCCATCAGCACAGCCTTTGTCCAGAACAACTTTATTGTAGAAGGGTCTTTGTACGCTGGCTGTAAATAATCTTGACTTTTTTTCCCTTTTAGCAATTCATGAAATTATGCTTTTGACATCACTGACTATGTAACTGATGGGCATCTGAAAAACCAATTAAATAAATTATAACAAGAATAAAGAGCAAGCCAAATATGTTGTTAATAACAAGGAAAGCTGGAGTTTTGGGGGATGGGGGAAATCGTGGACTGACTTTCTGTTTTATGAATTACATACCCGGCCAGGCTGACTCCTGCATCTGTGCAGAGTCTCACTGAAGTCAATTGTACATGGAGTTTGCCCAGGTAGAGCTTTTTGTAGGATTATACCTCCTTTACATCCTCCCCCTTACTGCATCCGTATCCTTCCATGCCTGCTCTAGTATGTCTGCCTTTAACAGGTAAAATCCAGCATGGATCAACACATGTGCCAGAATCTATGATAGCATAGCAGATTACCAGAGCAGTGTCTCAGTGTTTATTTACAAAAAACAACAATGTAAGTAATCATGGTTGTCTTTTAGCTAGAGGCAATCAGAATAGCATCTGTAAACTTTCAAATTATGTTTTGACCTCTCAAAGTCTAAAATAAAAAATTTCCAGCTTAACTGCTTTTAGCCTCCCCCCCAGCCCACCCCACATCAGACAAATTCCCTCCAAGATATGGAATCAGTTTGCCAACTTTCCCCAGAACAAATTAAAATGGCTGAATTATAAACTCTTGGGGGGAGGAAAAGTGTATATAGTAAAAACAATGAGAACACTGATTTTGTGATGTTATCATAGAATATCAGGGTTGGAAGGGACCTCAGGAGGTCATCTAGAGCAATCCCCAGACAGATTTTTGCCCCAGATCCCTAAATGGCCCCCTCAAGGATTGAATTCACAACCCTGGGTTTAGCAGGCCAATGCTCGAGCTACTTTAGGGATATGATTTGAAAACAGGAATAAAGAATGCTTTGCAGTATCAAATTATATCCCTGCATCCTCTTTTTGTTCTTATTTGTACTCAATTTTGAGTGAATAATTCTTACGAAAAGTGCTGAAAAGCCCATTCAATTGAAGAGCCACAGAACTAGCACAGATAGATCAGTAAAGCTCCTCCACACCATCCCCACAAGTATCATTTTAGCCATTTTCTGGATGAACCCCTTCCAACATGAAGATGGTAGCATAGTCTCTTTGCAACCACTGCATACTCATCTTCACTGAGGACTTCCCAAAGAGTTGAAATTCCATACAACTTTCAGAATATGTCCATTCTCACAAGTATCACATAATAAAACCTACCTTTTAAAATAAATACTTCTTATCACTTGTATTGCAATATAAACCAAAGGCAAATAGGCCCTCCAACATTATCTTAAAGACATATTCTCAGAGGACGAATTTTCCCTGTAAATGAAACAATTCTTACCTTTTTTTAATATTCTCTTTTCTTCCAGAGTATCCTTTTAATGCGACTGCTAAAGTGTGGACCTATCTACAGATTGGATCCCCCATCACTATCATATCTGGAAAAGCTAGCAGAAAATAAGGATTTGCAAACAACAGAGATTCTTAAGTGTTCAGTGTTCCAGTGACTGGATACTTTTTATAAAACATAATCAGCATCATTTGGAAATATTTTTTTAAAAAGTCCTACTCAAAGACCTGAGACATGGGCAAAAAGCTAATGGCCTTGCCTATGGGGGTTTTTTTTGGTTTCTTTTTCTATCTGACAACAGCACATCCAGTTTAACTCTGATATATGCTTGAGGTTTGGGAAAAAGCAAAATAAATTTTGATCACAAAGTATTTTTGTTTGGGGCAGGGAGAAAATCTGTATTTGTTGAAATTGTTTTAAGTAATTGTGTACACACCTTCTTAGTTCTTCTCACTTCTACAGAATAAACACCTCTGCTGGTACATGAGCACTTCTTTTTTCCTTATACCCTCTACAGCTGTCATAGCTAAACCAAAATACTGCTATTTGTTTGACCTCTGCCTTATATTTCAAGTTGTGCACTGGCTCAGCGACTCCTGCCTTCTGCATCTATACTGTGCCTCCACTCATCCTCCACCCTGCAGCCTCTGATGCTTTGGGATTTTCAACTTCTTGTAGACCTAATCATGCGCCTCACTCTTTGTCCCCCAGCTTTTGGGCAGCGAACAATCATTTTGGCATCTGGCTGCCCATGTACATATAGTGGTAAATATTATATGTGGTGGGCATGACTTTCAAAAGAATTAGGCATGCATGCTTCTACCTGAATTCAATGGAACCATAGCTACTCAGCTGCTCAGATAATCAGGCCCTTATTATTCAATATTCATTGGTGCAGTGACTTGAACAGGACTCTCCAGTGTCTCAGGTGAATGCTGTAATTGCCAACCTACAGTCTCGCTCTCTATATAAAATTGGACAAGTCCAATTTGAGAGTGCCTTACTTCAGATTACCCAATGGCCTAGTGGTTAGGCCACTTTCCTGGGAAAGGAAGATGTGGGTTTGAGTGCCAGGCAGAGCAGGGATTTAAATCTGGGCCTTCAGGTGAGTGCCCTAACCACTGGGCTATTGGTCTCTCTCTTGTTCTTTTTCCACAAGAGAAGACTAACCTGGCTTAGACAACTTCAGGAGCCTGTTTACAGCTGAGAATCCCAAGCAGAAATAGGTGCCTGCTGCCCAGATCAGTAGGAGTTATACACCTAAGTACCTTTGAATCTGACCTGTCTTGTTCCTCTGCATTTCATTACTGGCTGGCTTAGTTGGCTTCCTTCTCAGCTTGTGGGTTTCTGAAGATCCATTACTTAGCTGCCTAACTCTTGCCATGCATTTCACAGGGACCCAGGGAGCCTAACTCAGGCTGAGGATTTCACTAGGTGGAAGGGTGCCTCAATGTTAGGCACTGCAAGACCCAAGCCCTTTTGTGGATCTAGCCTTAGGTGACATAGGAGTCTTTGTCCCATTTTCAAAAGTGATTTAGGCCCTTAGGAGCCTAAATTCCATTGAAAGTCAATGATACTTGAATGTGCTTGGTTAGGTGTCCAGTGGGACTGCCAAAAGCACCTATCTGCATCTTGAAGTCCCTGAATGCCTTTGTAAATGTGGGTCTTATGAGGCTTTCAAAAATATTACCCACCATCTTCTGTCACAGATCCATGTCAATCACCGGTCATGCCTCTTCCTCCCCCATACTCACTCACTTCCAGACAGTAAAGCTGTGTGAGAATTGTGGCTGAAACCTGACAACAGGCCTAGTTTTAGGTTTGGCCTGAATCCGAGTCTCCCCCAGGTTCATGTGAGCCTCTGTCTGAGGCAGGAAGAGGGTTGTGACTATTAGTAAGACTTGCCATTTTTATTTAAACTCAACTAGGTTCACAGTTTCACTTTTAGTTTCTGGAGTCAGACTGTCCCTAACCAGGCACACTGAAACCTACAAATGTTGTACCATTAGAGTTCTCAAGCCATTCATTTATGAGAAAAATACTTTCTGACATCCCCCACTTGTGGAATATAGGAAGTTCAGATTTTCAATTATGTAAATACCCAAATTCTTGTCACACTGGTGCAGGAGAAATTACAGATGGATTCTATAGGTAGTTTATACCTACATTTCTTTTAATCAGTAATTTAAAAGATTTCCCCAGGAATGTAGTTTGTTCTTTAACAGTTCAGACATGTGCAACTGTCAAGTGGGAAGGATATTTTGTTTTTGAACAGTTCAGATAACTAAATAAACAAATTTCTTTCACCTGTTAATTATTCAGCCCACTGGTCTCCACACAGCTAGTTCTAATCAAATATGGGCTAGTCCAAACAGTCCCCTCCTCCTTTGGAATGTCAATCTAATACTTGAAAAAGCTCAGTTCCTATACAAATGTGTTTTCCTCACAAGAAGTGAAATGATGTCCAAGGCTGTACTTCCCCTCAGCCAGCAATCTGAAGATTAAGAGAATTCCACCATTTTATCAGAGGTGCCTTCCAATCCTGAGCTAACTTCATCCACCACTGGCATGCAGCTAAGTGCTTCTTTCATGTGTTTAGTTTGTAATTCCATAAAATGATTTGAGGCTTGGAAAAGGCACTATATAATTCAGCAGATAATTACATTCCCACTCAATTGACTTTTTACTCACTACTTCTCTCACTATAGACTACACTTTACTATCTTGTGGAACGTATCCGTTGATCACAGTCCTTAATGGGTAATTTAGCTTCCCTCACTCAATGTGAACTGTAAGAGAGAGAACTGAATATATGAGAGGATGAGTTCTTATCTTACCTGTAGCTATGGGGCAGGTGTTTAAATATGCTAAACCAGTTTTTTGTTTGTTTATTTTGCTTTATATTTTTGGTTTCACTTTATTTACATATGCCAAAGAATCATCTGAACACTAATCTGTATCCTTTCCATGGATGCATAATTCCCATTAATGTCAATGAGAATTAGGGGTTCACATGAAGAAGAAAATAAACTTGCAAAAATAAATTCTTTCTAATGACACTGTAGTTACAGCACATCTTTCTGAAGAGCACCGAGTAACACCAAGTAAGCAAAAAAAAAAAAATAGTTCTGCAACTTTCAGCTTTGAAAATGGCACAAATAACTTTATTTATTAAAGCAAAATCATCCTTCAGCTAGCCCATCATTACTAGAGATTGGTGTAAACTAGAGCATTCATCTTAAACTCACCATATAGACAAGCAAATTTGGGAACAATTAGGATCTGGATCCAGATCTTAACCTCACTATTCAAGATCATCTCTAATACTCAGGGGACATGTGCCCTGTAATTGTAGTGTCTAGAGCACACAGTAAAATTGTTCCAAGAAATCATCCCTATTAGGCAAACTCTTGTCTTTAGAGATCACAGCAAAATGCCCTGAATACAATTCTTTTTATCATTATTAGAAGATCACCACGGTTACATAATCAGTTTTCATGAACCCTTGAGTGATTTCTTAACATAAGATTCACTGAATAATGTCCCTTATTCTCCTCTAACTCCACTGACTTCAATAGACTTACTTCTGATTTTTGTTACGTGAGAGAAGAATCAGACCCACTGGTTTTGTTCTGACAGAAGCAAGCAATGTGAGGAGGGAACACTGAAGTTTTCTTTTAATATTGTTAGCTCCGCAAGGTCAAATT